CGTGTAGGAAAAAGAAAGAGAAGCGCAAGACAGTGAAATCTGGCAGCGCAGAACAGTCCATGTGGCTGCTTGCAAGTAACAATTTCACCAAACTCATAGACTGAAAGATCCTGGTAATAACATCAGCGGCGGGAGTAAAAGTGAGCCTCCACATCTAGTGATCAGGCAATTATGGGCTAAAAATGTTGCAACGACAAGTGGAACACTCAGCTGGGATCTACAGTTGAACATGGGATGTGTATAACTTCGGGTAAAGAAAATGCAACCTAGTCCAGAAGGAAATAAATTAGTACAAAACGACCTCGGCTTGAAAACTGCAATTTTTGATTATAGCAAATGAAACTACGGTTTATTTCTACTGCTTATCTGCGTGATAAATGAAGCATTGCGAGAGCTCAGTGCAAGAAGTGAAAACCATTGACGACGAGCACCGGGGTGGGTCCGTGCGATTATGCCTTTTTGCAGTGTTTCATGCTGTAATGAGATCGCTCGGAAACCCAGCAGCTAGTGTGACATACTGATCCTCGGATTTCAGGTAGTTAATTGTCTATGTTGTACTTGAACAGGGAACATACTCTGAAAATTTCAGCCTCCCTGCCTTTCCGGTCCCGAATTAGCCTTTTTCCCGCCGAAAACTTCCATGGGGCCATACACGATAACTGCACGTGCCTGGGAAGCTGAATTTGATAAATTTATGTTATACATGTGCTGAGAACATCCCCTGAAAATTTCAGCTTCTTAGCTTTCCCGGTTCCCGAATTAGCCATTTTCCTGCCAAGAACTTTCATGGGGCAATACATGAGAACTATGCATGCCTGGAAGCTGAATCTGACAAAATCTTTGTTGTATATGTGCTGGGAACAATCTCTGTAAATTTTAGCCTTTCCAGGTTCCCGAATTAGCCGTTTTCCCGCGAAAAAGTTTCATGGGGCCATACGTGAGAACCACATACGCTGAGGGGCTGAATTTGATAGCTTTAAGTTACAGTTGTGCTGGGAACATTCTCTGAAGATTTCAGCTCCTCAGCTTTCCTGGTTCCTGAGTTAGCGTTTTTCGCGCCAGGAATTCTACGGGGCCGTACGCGGGAACCACGCACACCTGGGGGCCGAACTTGAAACCTTTGAGCTCATTATGGCCAGGGAACATAACCTCAAAATTTCAGCTTTCTAGCTTTTCTGGTTCCCGAGTTAGCGATTTTTCCGCCAAAACTTTGAGGCGCTTGTACGCGGGACCCAAACTTGTGTGAGAGTTGGTACCGCGGTTCTGGGTGGTACTTGGCCGACGAACCCACCCGCAAAATTTTGGCGCCGGAGCTTGCTTGGGTGCCGAGTTAAAATACCCGGATAGACGCGCGCGCACACACACACACACCCCTCGATCGTTACAATATGCGTTTTTGCATTTGCATATAAGCAAAAACGCATAATTATCGAATCAAAGATAGCGATCCAAAGTATCAAAACGCTTGCATCTTGCTCGCCTCGCCAGCGGTCGGTGAAAGTTGTTTGTAGCAAGTATACTCCAAAAAGTAAGTGACTGCTCGGACAACCTCCGAAAAGATGGCGCAAATACAGCCAAGAAGCGGTGAGCACTAACTGTAGGTATGTGGTTAAAAAACGAAGGATCTGGCATGGCTGAAACTGATGTGTAAGAGCATCCCCCACTGACTACCTGAACGGTCTTGGTATTCTTAGTATTTAATACCAGCTAGCATGCAGACGTTTCGGTGCATCAAAATACATATACTTTATTTATGTATTGTAGATGGATTCGTCATCGCTAAGTTGCAGCACAAATTTTAAAATGTAAATTGTACGATTAAAAGATTTGAAATGCCACAGAGGGACACAGGTAGCACGTAAGAATTAGGTAAAGCCTGGAAAAAAAGAAAACGGAACTGAAATGCAAGATCACAGCACGCAGCAGAGACAGGCTATGTGTTTTATCCTCATATGAGATGCATGATTAACGAAGAAGAACGATGATGAAAGAGTTGCATATTGAACATCTAACGCGTCCATAAGCGGGATACATATACGAGCAGAAACTCATTTTACATATACAGCTCTCACACGGACAATAAGCGTCCCCATAGATCCCATAGATCTCTATGGGGACGCTTATTGTCCGTGTGAGAGCTGTATACGTAAAAGCAGCTCGTTGCTCAGTCTGGTTATCGACTTGAATGGATCCCAGCAGTATTCCAAACCGAATTTTAATTGAACGTACGCGAATCTTTGATGTGCCTCAAAGCTGATTTTAAAATCTTTAAATCCTACATAGACAAGCTTGTAAAATTAGAACTGTACTCAGTTGGTTCCCGAATAGTGCTAAAGATGTCTAATTTTGGACTTCGATATGCTCACGCGCATGACTTAGAGATACTCGATAACTGAATTTGAAACCTTTTGCGTATACATATGCAAAGAAATTCCTCGTGAAATTTAATTCAGAAAATCCCTTGTCTGCTATCGGAAATCTCTTTTCTTCCAAAACATTTCCACGTTTTCTTTCCGGTATCCGCACATAAAGCAATGGCTTTTTGGCATCACAAAACATCGTATGACGCGCAATGGGCAGGAGCATCCCTAGTAACAAGCTAACAAATATCATCTCCGTTAACCAGAATTACAGCTTGATCATCATCTTTTTTTCCGCTTCTGCAGTCTGCAAGCTTTTGGACGTTTTGTGCTCCTCCATTTGTTTTCACATTTTCCCCATCACGAACAGTCGTGGTTGCTTTCTTCACTGCAAAAGAGGAGCGCTCCTCAGTCCCGTATACATCGCAGCTAAAAACGGGCACCACACATATTGCAGAGACAAATTTTGTTAACAAACTGGATATTGGCGCGAAACTTCTAAATTAGTCAAGACAAAAGCAGTACATCTCCCGCGATGCGCTGCATGTGCAGTGCAAAAGAAAACAGAACATAATAGAACTGCCGCATGATAGAAGTGCAAAAAATTTAGTGTGCCTGCTTTTCTTGAGCTGTGATTATTCACCTTTGCAACTCACTATGTTTATTCTTTTGTATTTATGGCTATTACTTAAAAACAATTTAGGAATTCATGATTTTGCCAGTTGAGGCTTCGTCGTTCTCAGAGGCAATGCGCATGGGATCCGAGGTCTACCATCACCTGAAGGTATGCACCAGACCAAATTCTACGCAGCTTTGTCTCTTTTTATGCATTTTGAGCTGTACAACAGCTGCACAAAACGCATACTGTCGCGGGGTTATCTGTGTTTGTTTGTGGGTATGTGTGTATATCCAGTACATCTTGTCCGCAACTTTCAATTCGGGAACTACAAAAGCCAGTAAGCTGAAAATTTTGCGTGGTATTCCTTGCTCACGTAGAACTCCACAAATTTTCAACATCTCCATGAAAGTTTTGGAACCATTATCTAGGGAGTCAGAAGGGTTAGGAGGTTGAAATTTTCAGGAGAATGTTTCTTGCCTAGGCAAGAACTTCATCAATTCGAATTCAGTTCCTAAGTATGCTGATGTCTCACGTACGACTACGCGAAAGTTTTGTCTCAAAGATCATTCGAAAGCTTGAAAATTAGGAGATTGAAATTTTGGTAAGATATTCGCCCTTCGAGGTTTCATATTCAGTTTTCACGTAGCGGTGCGAGACATTCCGCAACTTAGGAACAAAACAACATTTTGACTATTTTTGCACAGACCAAAATGCAAAGTATTAAAAATCGTTAGCAAACAATCGTCGGTGGACGGAATTGCACAAAACACATGATCTCGGCTGCCCTGATGCGCGCCGCTATTTATTTTGTAGTGATACTGAGTACAGGCTGAAATCAAGAAACGATACGGCTTGGATGCTACAGCTGTGGGCGACGAAGGCGGCTTTGCTCCGAACATACAAGACAACAGGGAGGGGCTTGACCTGCTTAAGTCGGCCATTGCAACTGCTGGCTATACTGGAAAAGTTTTCATTGGGATGGATTGTGCCGCTTCGGAGTATTACAAGGTTTGAAAAATTCTGCATCTCAGTTTACCTCATTTCCCTTGTGGGAACGAATTTGGGTAGCTCAAGATCAATTCTGCAATTTTAGATTACTAAGATTCAAAGAAGAGAAGAATTGTCACCGAGATTCATTATCTAAGTCTGTTACAGGAGTCGGCTAAAAAGTATGATTTGGACTTTAAGAATCCCAAATCAGACCAGAGTAAATGGAAAACAGGTGCCGAAATGTTGCAGTTGTACCAGTCATTTGTCAAGGTTCTCGTTTTCATATACGTTGCCTGTTTAAAATTTAAACGGGATTTGTCTCTCCGCTATTTGTCTCAGCCTTGCGCCATCTTGAATAATCTGTGGCACGTGCCACTGAAGCACGCGTTTTTTGCACGAACAGCTAGGAAACTGTCTCTGCTAACTTGTGCGTGAACTTACGCGAAACCTAGAGGAAATGAAAGTTTGTCTTACACGTGTAAATATATACTTCTAATTATAAAAATTATATAATGTCTTTTTTTTGCCCTATGAATCAGGAATGCCAATCGCATTCCTCTGTGTTTACAGTTTTCTCATCTTCGTCCTATCCCTTTTTTTTCATACCCACAAAAACCATTTAATTTTCCTTTTATCATCTTCCTTATCTTCTTTTGGCCCCCTACCCCTATTTCCTTTTCCCTTATCATCCCCTTTTATCATCCATTTCCCCAAATTCCTAAATTCTTCCAAATTATTACATCATCCCTTGGGGCGAGCCCCAACTCCCTTTATAAACCTCTTCTCCTTTCTTCTAGGCCTCAGTTCTGCTTCTCGACGACGACGACCTCATCAACCTTGCCAAATGCCAGCTACGATTACGGCTAACCCTAACCGTGGACTCGACAGACTCGACTCGGCTCTTCATTTCTTCGAAAGGATTATTCCCCCTCGGAGCCCCGCTGTTGAATCTCCTGCTCAGCAGGCCACTTTGTCGTCAGAACCCAAGCATCGCGCCTTGTAT